TTCTGTGTGAGGGGGGTATCAGTGAATAAGTTGGGGAGGTGGTGCGTGGGTCAGTGTTGTGATTTATCCAGGACATGGCAGGGTTTTTAATCCATGTAACATTTCTCCTCTGACTGTTCCGGGAGGTTAGTCAGGACATTCAGAATTCTCTGAGTTGGGGACCTTTTCAGAGTTGTTTCAGACACAGGGTATTCACCCTTTGGGACTTTCAACTTCACAGATATTTACCCCGCGATGAGGGTGTTGGGATTTCCAAGGGGTCTCCTGGTGTATCTGTCAGAATCTATCCAGCATTTGACTATCCTGGACCAGAACACCTGAGTCCATGTCTAAAGACACTTCCATAACCTCAGCAGCTGCCATCACTTCACAGCCAATGATGTGATTTCAAAGTCAAACATAGGGCACGTGGCAGCAAATCAGTCTTCAATCAAGAAGCACCAATGACCAGAAAAATCTACGTTTCGGGTGTTCTCTGAAGGTCAGCCATTGGCCTGGAGAATGGGGAATGTGCCTACAACACAGCTGCCCTCACCCAGCACTGCACTGAGGCTCAGCCAAACGTTCACACTGAGGTACAACCCAGAGCTTTCTACATTTCTGTGGCCTCTGCTACCCATTGCCTCCCAGCTCACACATCTATTCCTGCATAATACCCTTCTTGTCATGACAGTCGGTGGCAAAATGTCATTGAAACCTGATATTAGGCTTTCTATGATGATATAATGACTAGAGAATACCAGAGCATAGAGGGAGGAGCAGGAATAGTCTACTCAGGACTTCGACACCACTTTTCCACAATTTCTCTCGACACCCTGGGAGACTATTTAAAATCAGCCTTAAATATCACGGAATCCCAGACTTGCTGTTATGCCTATGAATGAGCGCTTCACTCCGGGAGCAATGGAACATCCAGAATTCTCTGGGGTGATAAGTTCAGAGAATCACAGGCCTCAGAGTGAGGAAATGTCCCCCTCATCTCAATCCTAAATGACCAAACCCTTACCGTGTTGTCCAGTGTTCAAGGTTCCCATCCAGAAAAGTTTGACAAATTTATTCAAGTTTGTTTTTCGAGAATGTAACTAGGAGGATGAATATAGGTGAACCAGTAGATGTAGCATATTTGGATTTCCAAAAGGCATTCAATAAGATGTATACAAAAGCTTTGTGTACAAAACTGTGGGTCACATATTAGTATAGGTAGAGAATTAGTGAACGGACAAAAAGCAAAGGGTAGGGATAATTGGGGCAATTTAAGGTTGCAGTACAGTGTAGTAATATTCAGTGCTAGGGCTTCACTTCTTCAAAACCTAGAAAAATGACTTAGATGAAAACACGAGAAACGTATCCACATTTGCTAATGATACAGGGTTGTTGCTGAAAGGAGAGACATGCCACTACATGTCAGGACAAATGCAAGAATGCCAAATTTCAAACTATCACAACAATTTATACTAAAGAGGAAAAGGGTGATTTGATTGGCTAAAACATCGCCATGGAGGATGCAACAGTGCAACTTTCGGATTCTCTAGAAATGATCCTGAAGGAATTCCAATGTTGCTGTTATAAGACTCTATCAGGACTTCAGGAAAGCTCTAGTATAATTTCAGCAAAACAATATTTCAGCAGGGATTACACAGGGTCATGCTACAGCGATAACAATATTTCAGGGAGGTTCTAACAGAGTTTTAACGGGGTTCTGGAATGCATCTAACAAGGTTCGGAGCAGGCATGTCCACAGGTGGTTTTACAGCATTTCTGTTCCGCTGGGCAGTCCCCATCGTGTTGGCAAAATTCAGCACACATCTTTGTTCCCCGAGGCAGAGTGCATCTTCCTGGTTTCACTGTGTGAAGACAATGGAGACAAAATCAGGAGCTGGGAATACTGAGCACATTCACTTGAGGCTCTCCTTTTACCCTGACAAAATAAGAAGGAGAATTTGACAAATTTGAGATTTAATTTTTGAGGACATAACTAGGACGGTTAATGGGGGGAGCAGGTAGATGTAACATATTTGGATTTCCAAAAGGCACTCAATAAGATTTCTACAAAAGCTTTGCATACAAAATTGACATTACGAAGACCAATGTTAATGTCAATACACAAAAAGATGGCTCTCCCCACCCACAACATGTTGGTTCAGCTTTGAAAGGACTACCTCATACAAGACACTAGCTACAGTTATGTGTACTGAGGCCTCACCTCAGTTGTGTCTGGGGGTTGTACTGTACCTTTCTGTGCAGAAGTGCATGAATGGCCACATCCATTACTGCAGCATTTCTCATCCCCCAGACAGTCACTGTCGTCTGTACAGTATTCAGCACACACTCCAACTCCACCATGCCTCCGAGGACAGATCCCAGGTTTACCTGTGGAAAGCGAGTGTTCCACTCAGTCATGAGCTGCATCTGATACTGAAATGCAAAACTGCCCACCCCATTCCCGATCTGACATTCCTCCTGGCAAGGTTTTGGGAACAGCCATTCAGCCCCTCTCGTTGGTACAGACGTTGAGTGAGATCCTGAGTGTCTGAGTTCCATCCATGGCTCTGTATTGTTTAACACTCCTGGCTGGTAAACAGTGATTGCTGGGAGAAACATTAGTGTGAGGGCAAGGTGATTTGTGCAAGTGACAAATGGCTGGGATGATGCTTGTGAGCAGAGTGGAGGTGTTCCTCAAAGCAGCCTGTGCTTCATCTCCCCAGTGTAGAGGAGACCACACTGTGAGCAGCAAATACAGTTGACTAAATTGTGTGAAGTGCAGGTAAGTCACTGCTTCATCTGGAAGTCTAGGGTCTTGGATAATGAGGAGGGAGGAGCTGTCTTCTCCCTATCCTCACACAGTGTCAGTTTTAACTTGGTTTTGCTTTCAGCAGAAGATTGAGGTTAACATCTCCACTGGACCTACCGCTGTCTCTCCACATGCCTATTACCTCTCCCAATATCTCTCGTTCTGGGGCATCTGTGTTCATGAGTGTCTCTCACCCTCTGACCTTTTCCTGACCTTCCCTTCTGTTCCATTTGCTGGACAGTACAAAACCCATCATATCCCACCTCTTTCTTCAGTTCTGAAGAAGTGTCATACTGAATTCGAGACATTAATTCTGTTTCTCTCTTCACAGATGCTGCCAGACCTGCTGACATTCTCCACCACTTTCTGTTTTATTTCAGATCCCCAGAATCTGCAGGAAACCCCTTCCCACTTTGACCCCATGCAGGAATTGAGCTCAGGTGAGTTAGATAGAGTCATACAGCACAGAAACAGGCCCTTCAGTCCAACCTGTCCATGCTGACCATAATATGATGGAGAGATAGAGTGCTCTGGATCGATGTTTGTGGGTGATACAGAGTGAGGCAGGAATGGAAACTGTGAGGAGGACACAGAGAATCTGCAAAGGGACATGGATAAGCTCAATGAGGGTTCAACAGGATGACAGGGAAGGGAGCATGTGACCAATGACCTGCCATGATCATGTTGAATGTTGTAGTGGGTTACAGAGTCATTAAGTCATACAGCATGGAATCAACCCCCTCTGTCCAACCAGTCCATGCTGAACATAATCCCAAACTAAACTAGTCCCACCTGCCTGCATTTGGCCCATATCCCTCCAAACCTTTCCCATTCATGTACCTATCCAAACGTCTTTTAAACGTTGTAATTGTACCCGCACCCACCATTTCGTCTGGCAGTTCATTCCACACAGGAACCACTCTCTGTGTAAAAAAAATTGCCCCTCATGTCTTTTTAAAATCTTTCTCCCCTCACCTTAAAAATCTGCCCCCTAGTCTTGAAATCCCCCATCCTAGGGAAAAAAACCTTGCCATTCATCTTATCTATACCCCTCATGATTTTATAAACCTCTACAAGGTCACCCCTCAACCTCCTACCGTCCAGTGAAAAAATCTATTCAGCCTCTCCTTATAACTCATACCCTCCATTCCTGGCAACATCCTGGTAAATCTCTTCTGAACCCTCTCCAGTTTGATCACATCTTTTCAATAACAGAGTGACCAGAACTGGACATATTATTCCAGAAGACGCCTCACCAAATGCCTCACAATCTCAACATAACATCCCAACTCCCATACTCAAAGCTCTGAACACTGAAGGGTTCGAGGACTTGAAAGTTCTACTCCAATATCTATTTCTCATGTTCTCATGTGTCATGGCTGGGTAGTATGGCAGGAATAGTTATTCTGGAAATGTTCGACAGTGTCTCCCTGCCTCCAGTGAGAGAGAGAATGAATATTGTAGAAATTCTCTCTCCATTCCCCACAACACCTTTAGGGTCGAGAGATCTCTCTATTTCTTTCTTAAACATATCCACAGACTTGACCTTCACAGCCTTCTGTGAATTCCACAGGGTGACCACCCTCCAAGTGAAGAAATTTCCCCTCAGCTCTGTTTAAAATGGCGTACTGTGTATCCTAACACCATTACCCCATTATTTTCTCTACTTTATAATTTACTCCTAAAATCTGCAATGCTGGTCTTTTTTTTCTAAGAATTGTAACTGAAGAAACTGTACCTAGGGATCTTTGTACCTGAGATAACGCTGTAAGCGGTGACTTTTACACTTTTCACTATACTCATTAGAATACATGTGACCATAAAGCTAATTCTAATTCTAATTTTCTGGAACCCCTGGCCAGAGAAACATCCTACCGCCCTCCCTGCATCCAGTCTTTCCAGCCCTGTTAGAATTTTGTACATTTCAATCTGATCTCCTCCCAGTCTTCCACACTGCAGTAAATTCAGGCCCAGTTGACTTAATCTCCTCAAAGCACACAGACAGATCCCCGTGTTCACATCCTACTGCTCACTCTCTCAACTCACTGTCTCCTATCCCTCAGTCAGTTCCTCACCAAGTTAACCATTGTCCTTCAATTCTATAAACATTAACTTCTCCCCAAAAACACTCATCATTTGTGAATGTTGAATCAAAGGGTACAGTGGCGACATTATTGCACTAGATTGCTACAATGGTAAGTTCTGAATTCAATTAGTGATGAAATCTGGATTAACAAGCATGAAATTTCAGAAAACTAACTGATGACTGATTTCTGATGGCACTAATTGTGTGTCGAGGCTGTTGGGTCTTTAACCAGTGTTTCTTAACAGCTTAAGATGACACTTAAATATGGAAAGCCATGTTTCCAAGTTTGTTGATGACACACAGCTAGATGGTATTATAATTAATGTAGTTGGAAGTGTGAAATTACTAAGAGAGGTTGATAGGTTTTCAATACAAACACATTTGAGGGCACTCAGCGCTTTTTTTTTAATTCACTCATGGGATGTGTGTGTCGCTGGCTAGGCCAGCATTTAGTGTCTGTCCTTGATAAAGTGATGGAGATCTCTAAGGATCTTTGGTGAATTTCTGCAGCGCATCTTGTAGATAGTACACACTGCTGCTACTGAGAGTCAGTGGTGGAGGGCATGGATGTTTGTGAATGTGGTGCCAGCCAAGCGGGCTGCTTTGTCCTGGATGGGGAGTCAGGAGGTGAGTTACTCACCACAGTACTCCTAGTCTCTGGCCTGCTGTTGTAGCCATGCGTTTATGTGGTGAGTCCAGTTGGACAATCTGGTCAATGGTAATTCCTAGGATGTTGACAGTGGGGGACTGAGTGATGGTAACACCATTGAATGTCAAGGAGCAGTGGTTGGATGGTCATAGCCTGGCATCTGTGTGGCGCAAATGTTACTTGCCATTTGTCAGCCCAAGCCTGGATATTGTCCAGATCTTGTTGCATGTGAACATGGACTGCTTCAGTATCTGAGGAGTCACCAATGGTGCTGAACATTGTGCAATCATCGGCGAACATCCTCACTTCTAACCTTATGATGGAGGGAAGGTCATTGATGAAGTCTTTGTCTCTTCATGTTGCTTTTAGGTGGTTTCTTTGGAGCAATTCATGCCTCACTTTTTTTCTTCCCTATCTGCATCACTAATCACAGTGCCCCACACCGCACCCCGCGCCCCCCCCCACCCATCCCCATTCCAGTGTCACCCTGGTCCTCAGGTACGTGGTGTGGTTTACTCCTTAGGTCTGTTCAGAGATAACATTGTGAGGTGTTCCCAAGTGTGGTTTTGTGATGTGGTGCCCAGCTGTATTTGCGCAGGGCTCAACACAGGAAACAAAGGAATGATACTTACTGAATGCTGGGGGCACACACACAGCCCCACAGTCAAACACACAGCACTTGTCTGGCCCAGGACAGTCTTCATCACAACGGCATCCCCGTTTTGTCACTGCCACCACCAATCTCCGAGGACACTTGCCAAATTTAACCGCTGCAAACACAAGGCACAGCCTGTAGTATCCTACAGTCACACACAGAACCTTAGACTGCAATCAAAAGAGGCTTAAACAGTGGTCATAAAGAACACTGCTTGAACAAGCAGATGTGTAAAAAGACTTACAATGAGTGTTAATAAATTAGGTTTAAAAAAAGTGCAGCAATCCTTCAAAGTTCCTTAGCGTTTAAACCGGCATTTTTTTTTAAAATCACATTTCATTGCCCAATTAAAAATACTAGAAAATCAAAAGATATAATCTTTAACAACAGCAAATTTGGTTGATGTGAAGGAAGAGCCCAAAAGCTAGGACACAGCAGCGGTACACATTATGTCGTCTCTTCCTGGTTCTGTTCACTATCTCCCTGACTCCAACAGCTTCCCACCCCCTGCATCCATCCCTGTCCACATCTCCTTTGTACAGACCTCCATCATCAGAAACATAGCTGGACTCTCAGCTTGCCCTTTCCCTAAACAAGCTCTGCTCACCCATCAAAGAACAATGAACAAAGAAAATTACAGCACAGGAACAGGCCATTCGGCCCTCCAAGCCTGTGCCGATCCAGATCCTCTATCTAAACCTGTCGCCTATTTTCCAAGGATCTGTATCCCTCTGCTCCCTGCCCATTCATGTATCTGTCTAGATACATCTTAAATGATGCTATCGTGCCCGCCTCTACCACCTCCACTGGCAACACGTTCCAGGCACCCACCACCCTCTGCATAAAGAACTTTCCATGCATGTCTCCCTTAAACATTTCCCCTCTCACCTTGAAATCGTGACCCCTAGTAATTGAGTCCCCCACTCTGGGGGAAAAAGCTTCTTGCTATCCACCCTGTCTACACCTCTCATGATTTTGTAGACCTCAATCAGGTCCCCCCTCAACCTCAGTCTTTCTAATGTAAATAATCCTAATCTACTCAACCTCTCTTCATAGCTAGCACCCTCCATACCAGGCAAAATCCTGGTGAACCTCCTCTGCACCCTCTCCAAAGCATCCACATCCTTATGGTAATGTGGCGACCAGAACTGTACACAGTATTCCAAATGTGGTCGAACCAAAGTCCTATACAACTGTAAAATGACCTGCCAACTCTTGTACTCAATGCCCCGTCCAACGAATGAAAGCATGCTGTATGCCTTCTTGACCACTCTATCGACCTGCGTTGCCACCTTCAGGGTACAATGGACCTGAACACCCAGATCTCTCTGTGCATCAATTTTTCCCAGGGCTTTTCCATTTACCATATAGTTCGCTCTTGAATTGGATCTTCAAAAAAATGCATCATCTCGCATTTGCCTGGATTGAACTCCATCTGCCATTTCTCCGCCCAACTCTCCAAACTATCTATATCCTGCTGTATTCTCCAACAGTCCCCTTCACTATCTGCTACTCCACCAATCTTAGTGTCATCTGCAAACTTGCTAAGCAGACCACCTATACCTTCCTCCAGATCATTTATGTATATCATAAATAGCAGTGGTCCCAATACGGATCCCTGTGGAACACCACTGGTCATAGTTCTCCATTTTAAGAAACTCCCTTCCACTACAACTCTCTGTCTCTTGTTGCCCAGCCAGTTCTCTATCACTGCTGTATTCATTTGTGTTATGATCCTAGCTGGTGCTAATATTGAACAAGTCTGGTCCCAGAGTGAGTCCTGGTTTGACAAAAACATTTATTTTTGTTTACTCTTTACCATGATGGTCAGTAACTGAACATATTCAAAAGAGGCTGCCAGTGTACGTTTAACAAAAGAACAAAGATTAGGATAATAAAAAGCAAAAAAAAAGCAAAATATTTTTCACCATACAAAAGATCTATTTGAAAAGGGCTTGTTAAAAATTTCCAAACTAAGTATTCAGATCTTTTAGTTTCACTAACAATTGCGCACTACGCCTCAGTGAAGGGTAACCCTGTTTCCAATTTAAAGTTCCTTGTTTAATTGGCATAGCTGGATTTGTTTCCTTGCAGCCAACCTGTGCATTGTCTTGATGTGATTTCATTAGTCTATGTCAATTCCTGAGAATTTAAGCAAACTGCTGACAGAGCTCACTTATTTCTTAACATGGAGGGGTGTTCCTTAAAGTCCTCTTCCACAGCCTTCTGTTTCTGGAGATTTTCTCCTCCTGATATTAATTCATTTATTCCTTCTGCCCTGACTGTTTTGAAGACTGCTAAACTGCACTTCTGCTGCTGCAGTCCTCTTTTCTCTGTCTCTGAAAGACTCTCCACACTCACTAACCTTCTGGATAGTTCTGTGGTTTGAAAAGGAATTGTTTCTGCTCTGTGTCCCTGTGTCACAAGATGACTTGTTGCTACTTAACCCATTTTTATTCTTTCTTCCATCCTTATTCCAAAGCACTGAAATAATCACTTTGAGCGTTTGTAAGAGTCACAATGAAATACATGTGAACAAATTTCCAGATGGTGTAACACCTCTCACAGGAAATAAAATATGAAACAAAAACTATGTGTCCTCTGTTTAACACACACAATATAGAAACAAAATCCAAAAGTAAAGCTTTACAAGTTCTGTCCACTTTAGAACTCAGATTCCCAAATAATAAAACAAATAATTTTATTATGAGTGTTCATAATAACTGGCACACAATGGCTCATGATTTCTGATCCCCTCAAAGTTAACACTCTTGCTCTTGTCTCCAATCCAGCATACAGTCGCCTCCCCCTATCTCTCCCAACTCGTCCAGCCTCATAAACCTCCCCATCTCTCACTTCCTCCAGCCCTACATCCCTCCCTATCTTTGTCACCTCTTCCAGCCCCTACACTCCTCCCTATCTCTGTCATCTCCTCCAGCTCTAACACCTCTATCCCTGTCACCTCCTTCAGACCCACAACCCGCCCTATGTCTGTACCCTCCTCATGCCCCTACAATTTCTTGGATGTCTTCAATTCAGACCCCTTGCTTATCCCAATGAACTTTGACCCACCGCTGACTGTCCTGAGTCCAGGTGTCTGTGCGCCAAGGCTGGAATCCCTTCCCAAGATCAGACCTCTCCTCTCCGATTCTTCAAAAACAGCTCTTCGCTCACTTATCTCAACGTCTCCTTCTCTAGCTCCTGGTCTGTTTAATTCTGTCCAACATTTTGTGGGGATTTTTTGTTCATTCCTGGCCAGGTACCAACGCCAATTCCTGTTGTTGTCAGAGACACAGATGGACAATCGAGATTCTCGGACAATCACTGGGAAAGCGATTACAGGGATCTCACTACAAGCCCCTGAGATTCTACCACAGGCAAACTGCACTTAGGTTAGTTAGGAAGCTGCTGACTGCACAGACTAAATGAATCTTTTCTGTACTGCCTGGCAAACTCTTGCTGTTCTCTAATTGCAGCCATTTCCTGCATTCCTCATGCTGAGGGGAATGGATATTCCTCCAAGACTCACCCTGCCCCCAACGCCAATGAAAAGGGAGCTTGTGCTGAGTCCAGACTTCCTTATAACTGCCTCTCCATCCATTCGATGCCAACATGAAAGGTTACTATTATCAACGCTCAGGGGAAATGAGAGGCAGGGATCGAGAGTGGGCAGTGAAATCACTTTGTGTTAGCTCAGATCAATTGTCTCACTGTGAGGGCAGTCAGGCTTCAGGACGATCGAGTTTTCTCTTGGCCTTGAGAAGGTCGCTGCCCTAATTATAATCGGGGCAAATCCAGGCCCGGAATGCCGGGCCCTGCCAATGGAGTTAGATGGAAAGACTTTTGACTCTGTTTTAAAGATGGAATCAGTTCTCAGCAGAATGAGTTTGTCCAGGTGTTAGGCAGATGATGGAATTTTATCGAACTGGACAGATCAGAGCCTGGGAATGCTGCAGTCAGTAACTCATTTCCCCAAAGCCTGTGCACCATCTACAAGGCACAAGTCAGGAGTGTGATGGAATACTCCCCACTTGCCTGGATGGGTGCAGCTGCAACAACACTCAAGAAGCTCAACACCATCCAGGACAAAACAGCCCCTTCATTAACACCACACTTCTCCTGTCAGCATTCCATAGGGACCATTCCCTCTGTGACACCATAGTCCATTCCTCTATCATACTGTGACACCAAACGCAGGTGGTATGATACCTACCATTTTACCTTCTCGCCATCCTTCAAACACAACTTCTCCAGCTGTAGCACAATTTCACTTGTGTTTTTTTCAATCCTGTCTACTGTATTTGCTGCTCACAATACCGTCTCCCTTACACCGGGGAGACCAAACACAGTAGATTACTTTGGGGGTCATCATTGCCTCAGTCCACAAGTTTGAACCTGGCCTCCTGGTCACTTGCCACATAATGAACCATTAATTCATTCCCCCTCACTTAATTCTCAATGAGGAGTATTGTAGGCAGAAAGGGAACAGGTGACCACCAGGCAGTCAACAAGTAAGATGCCATGAGAGCTGAAATTCCCCAACAAACATGAATGCAGGTTGGTATGTTGCCTCCCGAGAGCTGAGGACCGACAATGTCACTAAACTGCTGCAAAGCACCCTGGGAGGCAGGGCTCAACAGTCAGCAGGCATTGGTCATGTTGGTACCAAAACCATAGGCAGAATGATCAATGTTGTCCTGCGATCAGAATTTAGGGTGTTAGGTAGGAATATAGCAAGCACAACCTAAATGGCAATAATTCTCTAGGCTGCAATCTTCAGCTAGAAGTGCCGAGTGGATGATCCATCCCAGCCCCGTCCAGTGGTCCCCAGCATTACAGATACAGGTCTTCAGCCAATTCGATTCACTCCATCTGATACCAACGAATGGTTGGAGACGCTGGATACTGCAAAGGCTACGGGTCCTGATGATATTCCAGCAATTTTACCGAAGACTTATGTTCCAGAACGTGCTAGTCTCCTAGCCAAGTTGTTCCAGTACAGTTACAACACTGAAATCTACCCAACAATGTGGAAAATTGCCCAGGTATGTTATAGAATAATAGAATCAGAGTCATACTGTGTGGAAAAAGACCCTTTGGTCCAACTCATCCATGCCAACCAGGTTTCCTAAACTGAACTAGTCCCATTTGCCAGCATTTGGCCCGTATCCCTCTAAACCCTTCCTATACATTTACCTGTCCAAATGTCTTTTAAATGTTGAAATTGTACCCACCTCTACCACTTCCTCTGGCAGCTCATTCTATACATGCACCACCCTCTGTGTGAAAAAAGTTGCCCCTTAGGTCCCTTTTAAATCTTTCCCCTCTCACCTTAAACCAATGCCCTCTAGTTTTAGACTCCATTACCCTGGGGAAAAGACCTTGGCTATTCACCTTGTCTATGCCCCTCATGATTTTATAAACCTGTACAAGGTCACCCCTCAGCCTCCCGACACTCCAGGCATAAAAGTCCCAGCCTATCCAGCCTCTTGCTTTGACTCAAACCCTCCAATCTCGGTGACAAGAAACAGGACAAATCCAACCCCATCAGTCTAGTCCCCAATATGTCCACATAACAATTTGGATATAAAGGACCTGGGAGCAGCCAATCAGTTCAGTTCTTGTGCCTGAGCAATGTTACAGTTTCAGTTGCAAGCACTAAGTGCAGGTAGCTCACAATTAAGAGGCTTATTCTTAATTGAAACCTGACATTATGTATCTCAGATGTAATGCAAGTAGTTATTAAGTAATAAGCCTTTATTGTTTATCAAGATTGGGCTCTCTCTCTTGCTGAAGGTTTAATAGGATTTCCTTTCCCACATAGTACCAGTAATTTACACTAACAATAATGGGAAAGATTTGAGTCACCTTATCAAGGCATCTCAGATGATTCATATGAAGTGGCTACAACTGACACAAAAGGTGATTGAGTGGCTAATTTTACTTTGCAGCTCCTTTCTAACCAAGATTCTGAACAAAATCTCCGTCAATGGCTCACTGTGATCTATTTTTTTTTCTTACATTCCTGTGGAATGTTCTAACATTGAAGATGCTATGGAAATAAAGTCATTGTTGTTGGCTTGGATTCAGTTACAGTCAATTTGGATTCAACACCCTGGCCAACAGCTTCATGGCTTGGAGCTCTGACATTACCTCAAGACAAATACTCAGCTCAGACCCAGGAAGTGGATTGTAAAAGCCAGAACCAGTGACCCAGAGGGGGAAAAAAAACTTGGGACCAGTCTGATTCCCCTGTCACCCTCACGATATAAACACTCACACTCTGGCCAATGATGCACAATTCTTCTGTATAATTAATCAGCACAATCAGAAACAGTTTCCCAAAGTCTAAGATCCATTTGTTCAACAAGCCATTGCTCAGGACCTGGGAATAAAGGAGTTTGGAGAGAAAATACGGTGTCAAAGGAGAGAGATGATGAGCGCATTGAACAGGGAGACAGCAGCTCAGAATTATATTGTGACCTCCCAAATTCAATTGAAAGACATTCTGTACTGGATGGCACACAAATATTCTGAGAATGCAGAGGCAGTGAAGCAGTTGAGAGGCGTACTTCTGAGGAAGAGCAGAGTGTTGCCGGAATATAGAGTGAAACTCATTTAGTGCCTATGCATGTTGTCGGGGTGTACAGTAAATGAGAAATAGGAAGTAGGGGGGTGTCCAAGAATTGATCCTGAGAGAACTCCAGAGGGAATAGTATGGAACAAGAAGGGAAGAAGCCATTGTCAAAGATTTGATGTTTAGAACAGATGGTTAAGAACGGAGAGAGAGAGAGATGCAGCCAAGGGAGGAAGAGTGAAGCAGACGCCAAACAGAGTTGCAGTCAGGAGAAATATAGAGTGAAAGTTGAGAAAGATGGTAGTGAAATAAATAGAAGACTTCAATGATAGCATTAAAAAAAAAGACTTGTAAAGAGGACACAGAGACAACTTGTTTCATTCACTCAATGATGGTGGATGAAATTGATTCATGTTCATTACCCTCGTGAATCAGTGAACCATAAAACATTCCCCATTGTCTCAGTTCAGAGGCTCTGAGGAAGAAGACCGAACTCACCGGTGGAGTTGTGTCCCTTTGCAGAGCTGGACTCAAGCCACAGGAAGAGAGTGCTGAGGGTGAGCACTAGGAAGACCCGGTGAGGAGACTGTGTTCCCATGTCTGACAGATAAAAAGAGCTGGATTCGATGAAACTACAGTCCCACAAACTGAAACACAGCTACTACCAGCCTGAGGATCTGGGCAGATCTCATTACCTCAAATATTTCAAGTATTCATGCTGTAATCCAGCCTTGTGTTTATGCACAAGATTCCGACAGGAATTTTGATGCCAATTTCTAAAGAAATGTGTTCCCAATTTATTTGCATCCCTTGGGGTCCTAGTGCTCTCCTTCTCGCTCAGAAGGTCTTTTGTTTATAATGAAGGCCGTGGCGAGCTGTTTGTGGGCAGGAAGTTCAGGAATTCCCAATCTCTACCCTGAGCAACCAGAGGAGGCACAAAAACGGTTTGCAAACTGGGTGGAGGGTGGGTAGTGGGAAGAAACCTGAAGAGATTGCGGCTGTTTTCTGCAGAAATATAAAGACTGAGGGAGAGCTTCAAGCTACCAGAAAGGCTTTAAGAAGACAAATGTAGAAATGTTTCCATTTGTGGATCAGTTCAAAAATAGGGATCACGAATGTAAGATATTCTCAATAAATCTGTTATAGATGACGAAATGTACCTGTCTCAGCGTGCACAGTCTCAGTTGTAGTGAGATCCCTTGGGGAGACTCAATGTCACCAACCCTTCTTCTTGGCATTGGTCCAAGTTACTGACATTATATGGGGAAGAATACCACACTAAGTCTATGTTAATAGCTAGTTACAGTATATCTGAAATTGTCCCTTGTGACAGTATCCCTAACCTAAGAGTTAGCAACTTGGATCTTAGCACAAGAACCGATCTTGGAACTTAGAACCACAACTGGTTAGCCTTTCCCAGGAACAGTCCTTTATACCCTGATGGGCAAAGTTTATCCCAGGATGTCAGTTAACCCTTTCAGGTACTGACTGCCTGATAAACCAAAACTTCTCCACCTCCTCCGGAACTTCCAATTCCCCAGTCCCCAACACCTCATCTTTACCATGGACATCCAGTCCCTATACACCTGCATTCCCCATGCAGATGGCCTAAAGGCCCTCCGCTTCTTCCTGTCCCGCAGGCCCGACCAGTCCCCCTCCACTGACACCCTCATCCGCTTAGCTGAACTTGTCCCCACCCTCAACAACTTCTCTTTCAATTCCTCCCACTTCCTACAGACAAACGGGGTGGCCATGGGTACCCGCATGGGCCCAAGCTATGCCTGCCTCTTTGTAGGTTACGTGGAACAAACCCTCTTCCGTACCTACACCGGCCCTAAACCCCACCTCTTCCTCCGTTACATTGTTGACTGTATCGGCGCCGCCTCGTGCTCCCACAAGGAGCTCGAACAGTTCATCCACTTCACCAACACCTTCCACCCCAACCTTAAGTTTACCTGGACCATCTCTAGTACCTCTCTCCCCTTCCTGGACCTCTCTGTCTCCATCTTAGGCAACCACCTAGAAACCAATATCCATTTCAAGCCCACCGACTCCCACAGCTACCTAGAATACTCCTCCTCCCACCCACCTTCCTGCAAAAATGTCATCCCCTATTCCCAATTCCTTTGCCTCCGCCGCATCTGCTCCCAGGATGAGGCATTCCACTCCCGTACATCTCAGTTGTCCTCGTTTTTCAAGGACCGTAACTTCCCCCCCTCAGTGGTCGAGAACGCCCTCAACCGTGTCTCCCACATCTCCCGCAACTCATCCCTCACACCCCGTCCACGCAATAAGAACCAAAAAAGAATCC